ATATATATATACACATATACATATATATATATACACATATACATATATATATATATGGAGTTTCAGCACCATAGTCTAATTACTGCGAAGATTGTGTAAGCTAACAACATGTAATACTGAGAATTATTTCATCATCCACTTCGTTATTGAGAGGCGCCAGAAAGTCCAGATGGGGAAGTCCCGAATTTATATTTACTATTAACTCTCTTCGATAGAACAATCTAATTTCCTTTTCACATTCATCTTGGCGATACTGCGAGAAGGCAGCTCTTAACCAAACATGTTACTGTTATATCCTTCTATCTCTATTAAATGTTAAGTTTGATTATTAAATTATCGTCATCATTTCATCTAATGCTGCACAAACTCCTACATATATATATATATATGTAATTTTTTTTATTAATTTTGATAGGGATATTATTAAAATAAAATTATGTAAGTTCTCAGAGAGGCCTGGATTTGTTCCATACCTGCTTGACTAATATCATTGAAAAGAAAACGAGTTATGAAGTTGTTTATTTAAAAATACATCTTTGAAACATTTTAAAAATTAGAATGTCACTTTTTAAAACCAGGCACAAAATACATTCAAATCAGAATTAAACATGTCATAGAAAAAATAAGCTTTCAATATTAAAATAAAGTGAAATTTTTTTAAAGAAATTTAAAAAGTTAAATAGTAAGAGAATATCAAATAAAGTAATTTTACCATTTGATAGTTCTGCCCGCAGAAAATCATGAGCTGCTTTAAACCTATCACAACAAGAAGACAAAATCCCATGCTAGGAAGATATAACACCCTTTCTGCAACAACAAAACCAACTCGGAAAAATAAATTAGAAGCAGGTAGAAAAGGTACCAAAATGAATGCCAATGACAGACATAATAACCTATGAAATAACAAAAGTTCCTTAAAATTTTAAGTAAATCATTAAAAAAAAAGATTTAAATACATATGAATAAATTAAATATAATATAGTTTTTATTTGTTATTTTTCCATTTAAAATTTAATAGAATTATGTTGTCTTTAAATGTAATATACGTTTGTATCAGAACATAATTTTAATAAACCCCTAAAAACATTAAGAAAATGTCAAAAATATACAAAATAATGTAAACTAAATTGTAAAAGCAACAGTGAAGAAAAATTAAATTGATAAAGTTAAAATAGTAAAAGAAAAGTAAACAATAGTAAATAAAAAACAGATTAGGTGCAATAATAAAATAACTAGAAAGAAAAGTTAAACAATTTGTTTTTTGAAAAGGCAAAAAATCAAACTAGTCTAAGCAATTGTGTGATATATTGACTTCACCATTCTTTTATAATGTCTTTTTTTTCCAACAATGTCTTACTAAACTGATTTGATAATGATTTTACAATATCCATATTCTCTTTACCACAGATAACTTTGAACCATCCGAGTTCTTCCCTACATGTGATTTAACCCAAATGTATAAAATCAGACTTTGGCATGATATTTTGATTTTGTAATTATTATATTTGAGTAGTTAGGGTTTCCCAATGCCAGTAGATTTTATAAGAAATCTTAATTATTTAGCACATTGATAAGGTTTATGGTTTGTTCATAATCCAGTTCTCCACTTTAATGATTGTCCGTAACTTGTACTAAAACAAAGACGATTCATTTAAGACTATCAATATTCAAAGATCCTGTTTCCATTTAATTGGGCTAAAAAAGCATAGGCTGTTCTTAATATTTTCTTTTCTTTAGTCTTAGAGCTGTCTGTAAAGATATTCAGTTTTGTCTCTGATGGTTGAGAATTCGTAGATTTAACAGCAAATTGTTCCACAATTGTTTACAAATTGTTAAAATATTATTTTATTTACTGTATTTTTTAATGTTACACATTTCTTGATATTTAAATTGCTGAAATAATTTAATCTTTCAATAAAATAATATTTACAAATAGAGCTCATAAGAGTAAAATAGTTAAATTTATGTTAATTACAGAGTACCAAGTCACTTTTTCACTGTATCAGTTTTTGTATCAAACAAATTCATGTTTCATATCAGAAAAACTCAATTTGCATGAAGTAAAAACATTTTTGAATCAGAAAAACTTGGTTCGTATCACTAAGTAAAAAGTTTTACAGCTATAAAATCACTTTTGCAGCAGGTAGACCAAATATCATGGTAAATAAAATATTTCTTTCGAAATTCATTTAAGACAAATTTTTAATAAGATAAAACAAAGGTAACAGCAATTATTTTATTTTTTATTTTCCAAGAAGATTTTTTTTTCAATTCTCTTAAAGTTAAATTTGCATTTTTTAGCAAATTTTAAAAGAAAATGAATTTTTTGTTTAATACATCAAATTACAATAATTGGAAATTATGCAAGTTTTACAACTAAAATTAAAACATTAGTTATACACGAAAAATTGCAAATAAAATTTCACCCAACAAACCTACTATGTTTATTAATTTAATAAACTTTAATGAAACTGATATTATTAAAAAAATACTTGTAAGCACATTTATAGACCTGTGATTGCCAGAAGAAGAAATTATCTGAAATGTTTTAGATGCTTTATGCTTAGATAGTTTTCCAAAAAAACAATTTAAGCTAAATGTGACAATGTGTAATTATTATCATCATTTATTTATTTTGACGTCTAAATGCTAATCCCCAAACATTCAGATGTACAATTATTTTAATCAATTTTCAGTTGCAATAATTTTTTCACCAGCAGCTGTAATTTTTATAAGTGATTCAGAAATAGAAATTATTTTTTTTAAATTCAAGATACAAAAAAAGGTGCTGTTAATCACTCTCTCTCTCTTAACCCTAACTGATTTATTTACAAAATCTAACATCTCATGCATTTATAATGAATAATTAAATCCTAAGATTTCCAAAATTATCTTTCAACAGCATAAAAATTTTTTTTTCATAAAAATGTATAAGGTTTATTTTCACTCTTTGTTAAATTTGAGGAAAGAAATTCAAATCAGATGAGTGAAATGCATATCTAGATGTGTATTGGTCAAAACTGCTTCCAACTAGATTACATGTATTAGAAATTATACTACACAAGTTAAATTTTTTATATTTGTTCAAATTAATTTGCACAGCACTGTATACTTTTCAGATTGTGTGGTTAAGAATCCAAACCTATCAAAAAAATAAAGTTTGTTTATTTAGAGAAAGTATGTTTTTGCACTTTCGACTTTGAAAAAAATTTATCAAGTGTACTTATTATTAAGAATAATTTAAGTCAAATCCTTGAATCAAAGAGGAGGCAAAAAGGCACTACTTCGGGTTTGAAAGCATTTATTAGTTTGAAATGAAAAAGACCGCTCCTAAAGATGCTGCCGTCTATGAAAATTATGAGACATATAAGTTTCGTTTTTATCTTTTAAAGAGTATCATGAATAAAATTTAATTTTTTGTAACTCACGTGACATTAAAATAGTTTTTACTTTTTTATTAAATAAAAAAAAAATATGAAAAGTTTTTTTTTATTATTTTTTTTCACAAATTAGATATTGCAAGATGAATCCTTTATGATGAAGAGCAGAAATTACTCTGTGTCATCAAAACTTCAAACAAAAGATTTAACTACTTAAAAACTTGGTTGTAATATTTGTAACTATACCTGTAATTATACATTATAAAATAATTATTATAAATAAGTAATTGATTATTACAGATAATTGAAGTTTCATATGCATCCAAATAGGTTCGGATATTTTTTGATGTAACTGCTCTCTACAGTCATTCTTCCTTTTTTTCCCCCCTTCCTCTCAAAACAAAATTAAAAGTATATCAGCAAGCAGAATTACAGTGCATAAGCAGACGGAAATCAACTCTCATTTTGTTTTGACAATTACTGCCCAAAACCCAAATTTTGAAGCAAAAAATATTAAATAATTATAATTAAAAATGCGTAGAATAACAATTTATCCAATAAGTTAATTCAATCTTGTCTTAGAACAAAATTTTTCATAAATCAAAATTTCTAAGAAAAATTTAAGCATGTATTTTTTCTTCTTCTTAAAGTAGAATAATTTTTTCAAAATATTTTTTTATATTGTTAAAAAGTTTTGATAATAACAAAAAATAGATTTAATTTTCCACAATTCTTGAATAAGCTAGCATATTTGTTTAAAATATGCTTGCTTATTGAGGTATTGAGGCATATTGAGGTTTATATATTGTTAAAAAGTTGTGATAATAACAAAAAATAGATTTAATTTTTCACAATTCTTGAATAAGCAAGCATATTTATTTAAAACAATAGAAATTGAAATAGCAATAATTTATTAAATTAGATTTAAGGTCACACTCATATCCTTAAGGAATTTAAACTAATAAATACACAAACTGACATATATTTTTTTAATAAAGACAAAATTTGCAAAGTGGCGTATATTTTAATAAAAAGTTTTGTAGAAATTTTTTGGACTAAACATTTCCCTAGTATTGCTTGAATTTCAATCAAAACCTCGTTTGCATGACTGAAGATAATCTGCTCCCCTGCGTATAAGTAATAACAAGAAATATTAAGAATAAAAAAAAAAACTTATAACAGACAATTATTGGCAAAAACTTTAGTCTTATTTAATCCAAAAAATCTACCAAAATCAGGCATAAAAGAACCAAAATCAAATATTTAAGATTGATAATAATTAAGAGCTCATAGTTATCTGTAATATAAACTGGACAGTTATAATATAACAAATAATATTGATCTTAAGGTATAACAAATACTATATTTTTAGAAAATTATTAGTTTCAATAATTTTGGCCTTTTTTTATAATAATATAAATCATAATTATAGTAGTTTATAATGCAAGTATTGTGCATGATTTAATATCCTATAAAATATTCCCAATATAACAGAAACTTGCCCCAGGTCTTTGAGAGTTTTTGTCAGATTTCAACACTTATGACAAGTTTTTGACGTGTCATGTCATAAACCAGTTTTTTTATGTAGGAAACCAACTCTGGCAGAAATACTGATTTCGTTACTGGTATTGCCATCTGACAATTATATATAAATAATTTTTCTTCTTCCTCACTTAATAGACTATTAAAAGCATATTAGCTAGCAGAATTACAGTGAATAAGCAGACCGAAATATTAGATTCCAATCAATAAGAATGAAAAAATACCAATTTTGTCACTGGTACTGCACTCTGACAATTATATAAAATAAACTTATGATGACCAAACAAAAGTTACTGTTAAATTTTAAAAAGACTAAATTACTAATTTAAATTCTTGTAATGCTTGCTACAATACTTTCCCCTAAAGTATAATATGTTATAGAGAAAGGAAAAGACTATTTTTATTTTAATAAAATTTTGTTCTTATTTACAGTAATAAATTCTAAGATATTTAAGAATTTATACACTAACTCTTTTGCAGGTAACAATGTTAAACAAATTAACAATATAAAAATAAATATTTACTTTATTTTTATGTGTTTATAAAGAAAAACTATTTTTAGTTTAATATAAATTGTTCAGAAAATTAAAATAATTTTAAATATAAAGAACTGAATACAATCTCAATAATTCCATTTTTAATTTCAAAAAATAGTTACAATTAGTTAATTAAAATTCCTAGTCATTGCAAATTAAGGAATACTGTCATCTGGGGCTATTTTGTACAGGATTTCGCAGTTTTTGAACTTTGACATGTAAGAAAACTATGTTAATTCAAACTTTAGTAAAATTTATTGATATTATATTCATAACTGAACTCAGACGAGTGAATTTGATCAATATTGGCATTATTTGTATGTAATATTTACGAATAATAAGTCAAAACATACCTTGCACAAAGTAGCCCCCAAATGGGGCTACTTTGTGCAGCGATAGGAATTCAGTTTAATAATCATGTTTTTAGTACAATATTGATATAAAATTATCAAAAAAGTTAATTGTTGACATTTTTAATAACAAAAACATCAAGATATGTAAAGATATTAGTTTGAAAATAATTTTCATCGTTAAAAAATCATTTTTCATAAAGAATTTTTTCTTAAAAAGAATGTTTATTTCAAAACATTTGAGTTTAAACTAAAGGAAACTATATACATTTTTGAACATTGAAATGGATGAAATTTCAAAAATAATAATTATTACATATTCATTAACATTTATAATATTGATAAATTTGAACATAACATGCTTGAATGAACATGACAGAACTTGCTCTTCAGTTTCTGTCAAAATCACCTGATGTCCTATAAAATATATTTTTATGTGTTAAATCGTTTGATTAATTCATTAGAAAAATCTTTGTAGAAGAAAAATAATAGTTTACCAGCACGTTTCACGTGTTTCTTGTGAATTTTATTAGAGATAGTATTTCTGTGGATTTTGTACTTCCGAGAAGCTTCTGCAATCAACATACCACCAGCAACTGCTTGCAAACATTGTTGCAGCTTTTCTAAAGTGTAATCACGGTAGTTTCTCGTTCCAGGTATTTTTTTAATAACGTCTGAAAATTTTTCAGTCGAAAAAAAAACTAATGAAACTTTGCACAAAGTAGCCCCACAGTGCATTTTTTTTTCATTTTTCGTTTATTTGTTATTAATTTTCAAATTTTTTTAACACTAACATGATATAATTGTTAACTAATATATAAATAAAAAATTTTGCACTTAAGACAATTGTTTTATCAACGTCTTTGCATTTCAGAGCCAAAGTTTCCACGCACACTTTTCGACGTCCTCGGAAAGTTTTTGACATTGGACAAACAAAACACACTCAGAGATTGTTTTAAAATTCGAAAAAATGTTTGTAGTAATAGAGAAGACTTCTATCTTCAAATTTCACACATTTTTAACGTGAAAAAAAATAATAATACTGAATAGCAGCACTTAAAAAGTGCCAAATTCGAATTTGCACAAAGTAGCCCCACATGACGGTAAATATTTTTCTTCAATTGATTAGGACAGATTTTTGGCAATATTGAAAAATTTTATAAATTAAAGTATTTTAGTGAAGTTTACTTCTAGATTGTTAAAGAAAAATCATTAAATATATCATCACACATGAGAAGTTGCTTAGAGTTCCTTCAAATTATTTATAACAAAAGAAAACTAGAATACAAGATATTTTTCTCATTTTATTAAACTAAAAAAAAACAAGAAAGAAACTATAGTTGTTTATGCAAAGTTAATAGTCATCATAGGTATTTAATTATAAAGGTATAAAAATGTTTAATTCAAAAAGAGTTTCAGAATTTTTTTTATCAAAATTTAAATTATATGTATATATATAATCAAAGTCATAACTCAAATTTGTAATAAAAAATATATAAAAATGTAAAATAAGTGTTTAGTATTTGACTGAAAATGCTTTTAAAGATAGTGCAAAATAAGTGTTCCAGTGTCTCTGCTGGAGATCGAGCCCACGACTTCTAGGTTAGAAGGCTGATTTTACAAAATAAATGTTCCTTTGTCTCTGCCAAAGATCGAGCCCCAACTTCTAGGTTAGAAGGCTTGATTTTAATTAACCTAAAATTTATTTTATTGTCTCAAATAAAATTTTATATTGCACTTTCAGAAAAGGTATACTATTAGTAATATACATCTTAGAGTACTCAACTAAAATACTATTTATATGAAGAAATTAAGCAGAACAAGCCCTTGATTGCCATGCTAAGAATATGAAAATGACACATTGCTTTTTGGAACTATTTTTGAGTGAGTGGTTTGTCTTGTATAATATATTTCTGCCTTGAACCATAAAGAATATATAGAACGTAAAAATCTCATTATCAGATTTAAAGTTATCAACTTTTTGCTTTTTTTGAGAGAGAGCTTGAAAATTTACACACCAAATATGGATTTGTACACTATACATTTTTTATCTTTATCATGGTTCACAAACTTAAACTTATGCATTGTTTGTTTACTCAGCTAATATATTTTTTCATTTAAATACATTTAATGTTTTTTAGAGTATCGGCTTTCCTGTGTAAATGAATAAAAATGTCATATTTACCTCCTGATTCTAAGATCAACATGAGTGAATACACTATATAAAAGATGGGCACAGAAAATCCAAAATATAACAACCACAACTATACGTTTATCTATGAATGAATTAATTAAAGGTATGCAGCCCATTGACCAATCAAAGCACAACCAATAAGGATGGAACAAGAGCCACAGGTTTATGGAATAAATGTAATGGTAGTTGACAATCTGAAGAAGAAAAAAATAAATAAAAACATATTTGAAAAACAATACACTAAAATAAAGTATATAAAATAAACTTACTAACCCTTACTAAAATTCTATCTTCAAAAGAAGCTGGATTATCAACTTGTTGAAAAACTGGAGTTGATGCCCCCATGATATACCATCTTACTGACAACAAAAAAATACCTCCTAAGCAAAGTACACTTTGCCTCAATAGGAAAAATGATATGCATTGCTGTAAATTTATAAATATAATTTAGTATGTAAATCAATATAATGAATTCTTTGCTAATTATGTATTCACACATTATTTGTTAAATTATGTGAAGTCCAAAAAAAATATTGTCAAAACATATTGATTAAATAATTAAACACTTCATGTACTAAGTTGAAACTGTCATAAACTGTCAGTGAATCACAACATTGATTCTGGCATATTATTCATGCTAATTATAAATGGTCATTTATTATCTGTTAAAAATAAATAGATTATTTATATCGATGGACAAGAGATAGAAGTGCACACTTTAAATTAAAATTGAGTGTTAACCTTTTCATCAGAATTAATTATACTGTGTCAAATATAAATGATACTGCATAATCCAGTTAAGTTTAGCAAAGGCTATGATAAATTAATTCTAAAACAAAAAAAGGGGGAAGATCATTAGATTACCACAAGATCATGGGATCTATGTTTACATCAAAAAAGCAAATCTTATAAGGGGTAGTGAAATTCATCTCTGTTTTATGTAATGAAAAATACAGAAACATTTCATGAATAAATTTTTTTCTGTATAAAATGTCAATTATTTATTAATGTTAGTTTAATAAGTTATCAAATTGTCATTCATTCCTTAATTTAATATTATAAAACAATTTAAAGAGAAAAATAACTAAACAAAAAATGTACTAGCCACAATTATAAACAATAGAAACACAAAAGTTGGTATACTATGCTTACTAAGTAAGAAATACTAAATATGCATATAAAAATTAAAAGCAATCAAATAAACAGAATCTGTAAAATTCAATGAAATTCTTCAAAAAATATGTCTGCCTTTGTTATTTAATAATTTGCTTAATCTATCAGAAAAAGTTCCTTTCAATATATTATACAATAGAAAAATTATTTTTGGGTTTAAAATATGTTGATTTTTGTAATAAAACTACTTTTTTCCTCTCTCAAAAGTGACAATAATTAACTAGATGTAAAATGAAAATGCGATTTGTTAAGTTATATTTTTTAACAAATTTGTCTTCAAGAACATTTTTGAATAATCAATATGTATTTTCATATTTTAAGTTCATTTGCTTACTAATTTATACATAACCAAGACAGAAAACCTTCATGAAATTCGAAGTTTAAAATATCAGAAAGAGTACTATTATTTAAGTAACTATAATTCATTGTCTTGGCACACATACTTTCCAGAAGCCTTCAACTTATAAACTGTATCCAAAACATGATTCGAAATTTTATTTTACCTACATTGCAAAAGAATGAACAGTTTTAATTGCTTCATAAGCATCGATCAGAGGAAAGTAAACCGAAGTATTTGATAGTGAAATTTAAGAAAAATTTTAGTCGTCACCTGTAATATTGAAATTCAGCAAAATCAATTTCTTAGAACAACCTATGAGAGTGTGGGAGAAATGAGTACCCATATTGTATATATTAAGGATCATTATGGGTGGCCATTTCTCATGAAAACATGCTTCTTTACATTCACAACCCTGAAGTACCTCAATGAGACGAAAGAAAACTTATTCATATTAGGACTTTTGTTGTTTTCTGTAATGTCCTCTCTCTCTCAACAGATTCAATTCATACAAATCCTTCATTTGACACAAATTCAGTTTTCTCAATTTGTGGTAAACTGAGATTTCTTTTAGGATGCTTTAGAATGATGAAGAGAAAATGTATAGAACATAGATTAATAAAAAGGACATTGAAATCAAATTTGAGCTAGAATTCATTAGTTATAAGTTAGGCCAAATTAAATCAAGTTACAATATTACAATATAGTTAAATTATTATACACAAAATTGTTAAATTACCTTAGAATCACTCCCTGGTGAAGTTGGCACATTTTTGTTCCTATGTGTGATGTTGCTACCAGTACAACGAATATCCCATTTATAAAATATGATAATGTCATAAATACAACAAACTCCCTATAAATAAGAGCATTACAAATATAAGTGTTACAGAACCAAAAAAAATAATATTGTAACTAGATTTCGAGTGACGTATTATTAGATTTAATTTTAATTTTACATACGTAATTTTCATTCAAATAAACATTAAATAAAAGTTTTTATTTCAATATGTATAAATTTCAGTATATATAACAAGTTATAATTCAATATTATAATTGAACTAACTGCATTTTCAACATATAGGTCAAATTTAGGTCTGAAAACCAATAATCTATTTCCACCTGTCCACATAATAACTATTTTCATAGTCAAATTTGTATATAGGACGTATAAACTAAAACAAAATTTTTGCTTAATATGAATGCTCACTAAAGCAAAGTTTGCCCGAATTGTCAAATATTATAAACCATAAAAGTGAACTAGAAAAAATTTATATTATGCTTGCTTTTTATTAATGCAACAAAAACTGCCTCACTGTGGGTTTTCATTATGGCCATTAAAAAATCAAGTTCTGAGAAACATGATTATGTGCTTAGTCATGGTTAGGTGATATTGATAATTCAATTTTTTTATGTTATTAAATACATAAAAATAGGCTATAAAAATAATACTTTACAAGTGAGAAATGCATTTAAAATAATACCCTAATTTGAGAAAGCCATTCTCAAAAAATAACATATACAAGATAACTGTAACTATAATATTTCAACCCGAAAACCACACAAGGATATTAATATTTTACAAAGCGAATAATTTTTTTTAACTAGAGTATGATTGGGGAATTTATTGTACCCTTTCAATAAAAATTTACATTGATTATAAATGCAACCTTTAAGCCTAATGAAAATATATGGGATTTCACACTGATTTTTTGCATGGCAGTTCAATATACTCTTTTGAAACATAGATCACGACCACTTAAGATAAGAATCTAAGGTGTCATGTCACTATTTCTTCATTCAAAGAGAATTCAAGTTGTTTCAGATTTATATGCAGTTACATAAAAATAACAAAGAAAAATAGTGGTTTAAACCTTTATTGAATTAAAAAAGTTTTTTAAAAAAGCCTTCCACCAACAGCACGTTGTAGGTCAGGCGGATCATGCAGGCTAAGGATTCACAATTTCGTGCCCAATGGCATGAATGTGGTCAGCACTGAGCACAAACAGCCTTTATTTCCAGAAGCTGGTACTCATTGATCTGAAGCTAGGTGGGTTTCAACAATTATTGAATTAAATGGTTGCTAATTTTGGTTGATAACTTGGACTTAATTTTGATCGCTGTGTTGAAATGAATTATTCAGATTGAACATACTCAGGATTTGCCAAAACACAAGCGTTTTAGAAAAAACAAAACACACATATGGGTTTCTTCATGAAACCTGAAGCAATTTTAATTTGCTTTATACATTAATAAGTAATGTTCTACAATTTAGTAAAAAAAAAATTTTTTTTAATCAAACACTCCATTTTTTTTTATGCAGTTGGTTTTTGTAGTTGGTATTTTTGTCTCCCAAAATTCAGATTATTGAAATAAGTATTTCTTCAAATATTTTAGTTTAAAATCACTAAGTTTAATTTACACAACAATCGATAGTTTCAAAGAACAAATAGGTTTGGCAACTGCAAAGAAATTTGATTGGAAATGTAATTTAAACTTGAAAAAAAAAAAAAACAAACTAAGTGGGTTTAAGGATGGTTTTTTTTTTTTTTTTTTTTTTTTTTTTTTTTTTTTTTTTTAAAGAGGGTCCACTCTGAAAAAAAAAAGGTACTGGATTTTTCTGAGTTGGGCCCACTTTGGGGAACACTGGTTGTAATGAGTATTAAAATAACATTACATCAATGGAATAACAAACCAAACAATGTGCTCGAGTCATTATATTAAAAAGATCATTGTAATGGAAATAGTACTAAAGACCAGACTATTATAATCTTTAGTCTTTTTGCATTGAGATTAAAAAAAAAATTTCACAAGTTTCAAAGGACCTTGTTCATTTATCAGCTTCGTCAAGATTGTTTGAAATAAAAAGGCCACATTTTCATTTTCAGTTGAAAGTTTTATCAGTCATAGTAATTGATGGCTTTCATTGAAGGATGTTACTGTTACTATTGTTTGTCACTGTGCTAAGCTAAAGAGGATGAAGCCATTTTTTATTTTAAGCTTAATTACTTTTTGGTTGAGTTTTTCATATTAGTTTTAGGTTTTTTTAAAAATTCAATAATGAAACTCTGCTAATTTGACAAAGGGTGTTTTTTGTATTTTACATATTTTTAAGCCACATAAAACTGCAGGCAAACTCTCTTTACTGAGAACAGATTTTGAAATTAATTTTACACTGTGTTTGGGCTCGAATTTTGTCACAGCATACATTATATATCACTTTAAAAAAGGTTAGGTTTTAATATTTAAATTAATAACTTACGATAATAGTTATTCCTTGTTCCTTACATAGCATAGCCAAACCCGCAAGTATGACACTAAAACCAACCCATACAAGGGACATTTTTGGTCCCCAATGAAATGAGAAACCTAAAATAAAGATATGAAAATATAGTATAAAAAATTGATGAAAACAATAAACAGGCCTTTTAAAAAAATACTAATACAAGTAAATACAAAAATAACTGAAATGGCCATATTTCTAATGTTTTTATAAATCCTGAAAAATTCCATATTTTTAATTAATTTTTATGAAAAATACAGATGCATTAATTCAGCAGTCATAAATACAAAATATTTTGATAGAAAAAACATATAGGCAGTTATATTGTTTCTTACTCTGATTTTAAAAAGATTTCCAAACAAAATAAGAGTAGAACTAAAGACTAAATTAAACCAAATGATGTAACATTAAATATGATGTAACATAACTAAGAGCATGTGGAAAAATTGACAAAGAGCAGGTTGCAAGAAAGAGATGACAATGTTGTTAGAGATGAAAATTCAAAAACAAAATTTTTATTGTACTAAGTATTTTTTGTAATGTTGAAATTATCATAAAGTTTAATCCATTCTCCTTTTCCTAAAAATGTTTAATAATGCATTGCGAATGAAAGTAATATACATATTGTGTTTCATTAAAAACAGCCCTTAAAACATGCCTCAAGAATCTCTGCATACCGTTCAAGTCTAAAGAATAAAAATTATGGATTTTTTCTTAAATTTATAATTCACATTGTTAAAAAAACAAATCAGACAATTGCAGGAGTTTTTCCAGAGTCCACAAAGATTGCTCCCTAATCCTAATCCAATTTTTTTTATATTGTAGGGAAATCTGTTTAAAATCAAACAATAATTGAAAGTCTGGGAAAAATCAAAAATTAGAGCAAGAATTAGTGGAAGATTCTCATCCCTGCATACTTTTTATTAACAAATCACAAATGTAAGAAAAAAAATTTAAAAAGAGTTGTTTATTTTGGCATTTCAACCTTTAAACTGATTGATTGATTTCTTCAGTAAGTTTTTTTTTTTTTTGTTTGCTCTTAACTGATAAAGGGTTACTTCTCTCCTGCATGCTTTCTTAGCGTGACTTGATGAATATTTTCCACCTGAGAAGGTGACCTCCTTTCAATAGGATTTTTACAGCTTTTTTTAAAGCCTCTGTCTTCCACTGTGTGTCCATGTTTATTTGAATATTTTTGGAAAACCTTCAAGTAAATTTAAATTTGTAATGTAGAAATCAATTAATAGTTCTTTCATCCTTTTCCAAATTAGAAAAATGTTTTTGAAAATTTAGACACACAGTTTGGAAAACAGCATGTGCTTTTTCCTCTAAGCTATCTCTTTTCTTTACCATAGGAGCATATGTAAGGCTTACATTAGACTTAAATTACAAAATCCCTCATTTAAAAGAAATTTTTTGAGGGCTGTATGCAAACAGCGCATGGATCCTCCAATTCATATACTTATTAGGAAGAAAGCTTCAGGTCCTGAGTGAAAACAAAAGTCTGAGGCTCAGGTTTGAAGTCTTGAGAGTTGGCAGATCTACAGATAGCAGCACAAAACACAGAAACATCTTATTGCTGACATGAAAATAGTGGTGTTTTTACCAAAATGCTCTTGAACAATTTGAAAATGTAACTTACTGTTATATCACTTACTATCTCTTCATACAAATAATACTTTTTATTAGTTAATTAAATTTACTATTAATTCAATCAATATTTCTAGGATGATCAAGGAAAATTCTAGAGTAGCCAAGTCCACCCTGGCCCCTGCTTAGCTATACCATGTTAACGAAGTATTCCAATGAAAACTCAATTACTTTCTATTACACAAGAATTAGACAGTAACAATGATTTCTAAGCGAGCCTTGGCTAATATGAAAAATTTGATAACAGCATTATGGGCAAATCACATGTAGAATTTCAAAATATAATTTTCTAATTAATGGTTTAACAGTATTAATTAATATTTCAACATCATTCATAGATATGTCATTAAAAAATTATGATAAATATTTATAATAAGGTAGTAAACTACAAAAGTCAAATCAGATTTAAATACATGGGTAAAATTAACTTACATTTTGATGCATGAATAAATGAAAGAAAGGACAGCAGAAAAAATATTCCGCATAACAAATCAGCTCTTCCAACAACAGCTGATACCTATTAAAACAGATATATTACACATTTTTATAGAATTATACAAAAGAAGATACAAATTAATATTTAAATTGTTTCGCCATTAACATCGAAATATTAAAAAATTGCTATGGAATTTAAAAACTGTAGTACATTTTTTAAAATTGATTTAAGATTGAACCATTCCATTGCATATGCAACTTTTAGGACTAATTAGGAAAAAGGCATGAACATCGAATATTGTGTACTTACACTTTCAGTGTGAACAGGGTGCACAGAGAAAAGTAAGGCACTTAAAAAGGCAGTTTTTGGTGATTCATCATCTAAAGCAGAATTCAACATACAAGATATGACCTTATGAAATAGAGCACTTACACTACCATGCAGCAAAATATTTACAAAATGAAAGCTCCATGGGTTAAGTCCAGTGATAAAATGATTCAATCTGGAAAAGAAAAACATTTCAAAATGTGTCAATAAAGCAGTTAAATATTTAAGTGAAAAGAATTTAAATCAAAGCCCTGCACCACTAATTAAGAAGTATTAACTCCCCACTATATTAAAACTCTTAGTTGAATAACAAGTTAGCAAATGTTCTTAAAACTCCATCAATATTTAAAAAAATATGCTTTTCAGATTGTTTATATATAAACATTTGAATTAGTAAAATAGCATACAGGTCAAAATTACTTTAAATTAAAAAAGTTAAAGCAAAAATTTGAAGAGAGTCTTAGGTTAACCACTGGAGAAATTGGCAGATCTGCACCGCACTTTAAAATTTTAAGAATCATACCTTCCAAATTGGTCTAAAAGTATAAAAAGAGTTTTCCAATTGCTTTGTTTGTAATTTCCTAGCTAAAACAATAGAAATGTAGAATGCTCTGAAGTTAAAACTAAATCTTTCGGACTCTGGCTTCATTATTGGTATTAAAAATATTTTCCCATTTATTTTCAAGGTATTGGAAAAGTATTTTCTAATACTAAAATTTTTTTTAATGAGTCACCCAAGGATTGACTATGTAACAGTCAATTCTGACCTTTAACTGACATGCATATTAAAAAACGTATTTGAAATGCTACGAGGAAAAAAAAAGGGCAATGCTTTGTATAATGTGTACAAGCTTTAATAAGTGTGTTTATTATGTCTAACAAAAATTTGTGATTCTTAATTTTCTCCATGGCTTCCTTTTTTAATGTTAACTTTAAAACATTTATTGTGTACTTCTCTTCTTAATCATCTAGACAGGATTATTGGTGATGGACTGTTTATTTTAATTATTTTTGAATTTATCTACTTTCTGTCTGTTAAATAAAGTTTGTTTACTTTGATAGTGCTCAACAACATATTCTAAAAATTTATATCTCTAACATGAACCATAATAGCTGAAGTAAGTAATCAGGCATCTGTGTTTGAGGTGCTCATGGAGATTGTTACGTTTTGAAATAAGAATTGGATAGGTTTTGTATAATGGAGAGTTGGGTGAAAGCGTTTTTATTTGTCTTCAAATAACTTTTGACTTATACAATGGAACTCGAGTTTATGTTTTTAGAAATATGTTGAAATTTTGTATTCTTTTTTAAGAATTTGGTTTAATAAAATATAGGAGTACAGCAAGAAATATACCCTATTTCTTCCACTCCTATATTTTATTAAACCAAATTCTTAAAAAAGAATACCAAATTTCAACATATTTCTAAAAACATAAACTCGAGTTCCATTGTATAAGTCAAACGTTATTTGAAGACAAATAAAAACGCTTTCACCCAACTCTCCATTATACAAAACCTATCCAATTCGTATTTCAAAACGTAACAATCCTCCCACCGTTTTGATTGGAGGTTTACTTTACTAATCAAAACTAATTATATTTCTATGAGTAAAATGAATGAAAATTATAATGTTAAAATACTGTTCCGAAAGTCCAAGTTTTTCAGCTCAAAAATTTAATTGGCACTTTAATAAGTCTTCCACTTCTCGTTCTTACTGTTTTTCCAACTACCTGCAAGTCCTTCTCTGGTTTATTCTTGCATGCGTCATTATTCATTAGATTAGGTTCAGTGGGTGAGGAAATTTCGAGTGGGAAAATCTTCTGCGCAGGCCTGACGAGTTCANTTACTGAGGGTTTCATTTTCCCCATAATGACCCATCCTAAATAAGTCTCTACTGCAGTTAAACCACACGCCAAATTGCACACTTTCCCAGTGTAAAGTTTTCCTGCTTCATCGGCTCCAATTAATAACTCAATAGGCTGTCGATGATTCCCAATATCACTAAGTGAGATGCCCTTCAGTACCATTTCCTGCATCCAAGGTCCATCATGAAGTCGTGGAACAAAACTGCAAATTTTATGTTGATCCAAAACATGCATATTACAACTATAACTATTTTTCAAATCGGTAACTTTAATAGAAAAAAGATTATGAATTTCGCTGCTTGATTTTGACCCTCCAAATAAGCTATGAATCAATGTTTGAGTATCAATTTGGCGAAAGTTCAGTTCCTCAACAGTGCTCTTCAGAATATATGAGCGTTGAGAGCCAGCGTCAATTAATGCTCTTATAGCACGTTTTCCATCTTTACTCTCAATATTTACCATTAAAGTTTGAAGGAATATCTCTCCAGAACAGCAAGAATTCGCAAATATTACATTTTGGCATTCACTCGAATCAATTACTTTTTCATATTTTACTTCGTGCTTGTTTGGCGATAATTCTGCACACGTGATCGACCAATGTCTCTTAGCACAAATTAGACAGTTAACACTTGATTTGCAATATTTTGCTTTATGTCCAAACTTAAGACATATAAAGCAAGCTTTCTTATTCTTAATTAGTTCTTGCTTTTGATGGTAAGCCAATTTGGCTGCCGTAAAACAATCTTTACTCTCGTGGTTTTTGTCGCAAAATACACACCTTTTATCTACCACAGTCCTCGAGCTTTTACTTCCAGAAAATAACTCATTTGCTGTTGGTATAAATATATATATTTATATAATACTTAATTGGTGAAAGGTTCTGAACGAAAAGCTTGACAGTTGACTCCTCTGTAGAAATGTTTTCAATAAAACCAAAATACTGCCAATGACAAAAAAGTTAAACATAACAATCGTGAGGCTTTTCCACTTTACTCTCAACTTTCATTATAACTCATCATACTCATTTAATTTAGAAGGCTTCTGTGCACAATGATGTATAATTTTTTAAAACTGATCTGATTTCTAACATTCTAGCTCAGATGATTGATTTAATAAAATCTATCAAATAAAATTAAAATAAAAAAAATCAGTTATTTCCTTATTCAAAGCTTTTCATATTTAGAGAATGTTAATAACTATTTTAATTTATTATACTTGCAAATCCTTTTCAAAATTAAGGAATTTTAAGGTAGTTAATTTCTAACTAAATATTTTAGCTAAATACCAACCAGTGACACAGAATTTTTTGCAATTAGCAATGTATGCATAATTTTTTGGATTCCAACTTTAAATATCTCAAAATTTTTTACTTCAGAGCTTGAATTTCAAAAAGTACACTGTGCTAAGAGTAATGACTATAGAACACACCATATTAAAAAAAAAAATGTTTACCTAAATGTTAATACGGTTAAAGGGCGATATGATTTATGACTTGTGTTGTGAGTAAGTTTTGTACCCCAAAAATCATTCTGAAATATGCTTGAAAGAGGAGTATCAGGCTTCAAATCAAAATTATTAATAACTGCCTCAGAATCATCGAAGACGAATTCCCCCTCAATACTGTTGCTGAAACAAATGACTGCACATAAGAAGACTATAAATGATGACCAAGGAAGGAGACTAGTGGGTACTGGAAGTGGATCATCCCAAGATTTTTTCTGGATACTTTCAGTCATTATATCAACTGCAAATAATCAGAAACCTAAATGAAAAATAAAAATTCTGGCATAATCTATTAGGACATAATAATACAGAAGAAATATATTTAAGAAAAAAGAACATTAAAAAGATTTACAACAAAGCCAAAAAAACTACCTGAAAGTTTTGAATAAACAAGTTCATACTAATTTAGACATTGCAATTCAGTTTTTTTTTTTACAATTTAATTTTAATATTTTTCCTTCCTATTAAGGGTTTCGTTACTTAAATTTTTCAAATATCTTTTATTCAAGTGTTTTTTTCATAGATTGCAGCACTGAAATGTAATTTGCTTCATATTTTTTGTACCAAATATATTTTTAAAATTTTTCGTACGATTTAAGCTATAAGCACAGTTTCAAATCTTAAGCGAATTTTTATTAACTTTTAGATCAGTATATCTATTTTTAAGGCATTTTAACTGTTACTCCATGCCGGTAAGTTGCTTTTCTGCTTTCTTTTATCTCGAACTAGTTTTCAGCTGCATTTTTATTTTTTAGGAATATCAACGTATTATAACGGCGGCTTCCAGAGGAAGCAAAGTACACTTGCTGTCTTCGTTGATTTTAAATAGGTGTTTGACAGAGTTTGGAGAAAATTGCTTCTTAGGAAGTTGCTTCATAAGAAAGTGTATGGAAATCTTTGTAAGTGGATTAGTGATTTTCTTTCACAAAGATTCTTGAACATTAAATATGGCAACTCTCAATCAAGGCCATGTAGCTACAGAATCCCTCAATCGGCAAACCAGGCAGGGCCTTCCACAGGGCTCAGTTTTAAGTCCTGTCCTCTTTAATGTTATGGTAAATGACCTTTTGAGCTTCATTAAAAATGCTGTTCCAGAGACTGAATCATTGTTGTATGCCGATGACCTTGTTATTTGGTCTACTGTCTCTGATATCTCTATGCTGGAGGAAACACTCAATTTGGCTTTAGAGGCCCTGGCAACCTGGACCCTGGACAACGAATTCAAGGTAAACCCGGAAAAGACAAATTTTGAACTTTTTAACCTTAGTACTGAAAAATTTAATGCTAACTTGGTAAACAAAAATAGTACAATGGGTCAGACTGATTGTGCTACCTACTTGGGCACAACTCTTGATACCAGACTGACCTGGACTAAATACATAAATCAAGTGGCAGACAGCGTAACAAATCGCCTTAGTCTATTAAAACGTCTCGCTGGAATAAATTGGGGTTCATCCCAAAGTGTCCCTGCTTCCACTTTTACTTCTTACATTAAACCAGTATTTGACTATGGTTCAGAAATCCTTGTTACTGCCTCGGACAGTGCGTTATCAAAACTCAATTTGGTTCAAAACAAAGCACTTAGACTCATCACTGGTTCTGCGATCTCAACCCCTATTCCAGCCATGTAGCTACAGAAAGAAATTTATAATCTATCTGACAAACGAACTTATGCTGCCTTTTTTTCTTGGTGAAAGATTGTTGAGAAATGAGCACTTTTGGCCGTACTACAATCTTCCTCAAACTAGACTTAAATCTCAACATTCTTTTCCTTTTGAGTACCGGAGACTTGCAGAGATCTTTGAGATCTCCAACTCCAAACTTTGCATCTATAGGCCGCCTTTTTTTTTACGGGCCTTCTGAGATATGCCACTGCCAGATTCGACTTGGTACTGCCTGTTCGGAAATCGGACTTCCACCAGACCGAGTTGTATCTTATCACTCTGGCCACTATACACGAGAGATACCCTTGCCAGCAATGGCTGCAGGATTTTACTGATGCATCCGCCACTCTTTCAACTGGTAGAGCTGGTGCCGGTGCTTAATGGAAATATTTCAGCCTTAGAGAACCTCTTGACACTTGGGCAGATAATTTTGATGGAGAAATGCTTGCAATCCTTATCGCTATTACAGCTATTGGTGAACCATCTGAACAAAACATTGTTATCTTTGTCGATTCTCAGGCTGCTATTCAGACCATTTCTGAATATAATTCAGTGATTTCATCGCAGAAAAAAAAATGGGTGAGAATTTCTCACCCTTTCTCAAAAACAGGGTGAGATTTCAAACAATTAAGTGAGATATCCAAAAATTTAAAAAAAACAAAAAAACACAGAGACTTGAAAAAAAATCATTTCTTTAATTATAATACATTTTAACATCTTCTAATTTTTAAAGCATTGAATATTTTTTTTGCATCATCTTATGGAAAATGTTCTACATCTGCTTCTTCATCAGCTATTCTCATTAGGTTGCTCAAATGCGTGTTTGTTTCGTTTTGATCGTTTCTACCCACATTTGTTTCATTTTCATTTGTCCGTTTCGGAGTAGAAGATATTGGCTTTACAAGGTATTTGTCCATCTTACATTAACGAGCAAAAAATTTGAACGTCTTACATGAAGAAACCTTACCTACGGTAAACACGTGGTTGCAGAGAAATGCGTTCTGAAAGAGGTTCCGTGGTTCGGAAGGATGGTGTTCTGTTGTTCTTAAAGGTTCTGAACAATACTGGTAAATAGGGAAGCTAGATAATGGGGCAGATGTTGAAAATAATGAAAGATCCAGGAAGAAAAGTGATACTGATTTGCAAGAAATGCGAAAATTTTGAAATTGGTTGATAGAATGCGCGCGGTAATAATTTTTTAATGTGAGAAAAGAAAAAAATATGTGAAATTCTCGCGTTTTCGCACTGTAGTGAAAACACTGTAATTTATACCCATCTGAACTTGAATTTAAGTGTAAACAACGCATTGACTCTTTTCTTTGTTCTGGAAGAGAGGTGGTCCAGGCCATTGTGGCATATACGGAAATGAACGGGCTGACATGTTGGCTAGAGAGGCTTTAGCATTGCATACATCTTCTCATCCAGTTCCCCTTAGAAATGCAAGGCGGCTTCTTAAGAGCAAATTCAGGCACAGAACAATATCTGCTCTTAGGGACTTAGCTGATGGAAAGCACTGGGCTAGCCTTCTTGATAACCAGCAGCGCTCTCACCTTTCCCCCCTTCCCAGAGCCGAGGGAGTTGCTTGCCTTAGAATAATTATTGGACATGAATACTTGCAGGCCCATCTATTTAAAATTAACCTGGTCAATTCACCTCTTTCTGTGCTCTGTAACACTTCGCCTATGACTGGGGAGCATCTATTTGATTGCCCCTCTCTTCTTGACATTCGTTCCTGTGATGACTTTTGTGCCCTCTCACCTTCTGGAGCTACTTCAGAGCTGTATTGGACTGCAAGACGCCTTATGTCTGAGAAGACGATGGCGAGCGTAATTTTTGTAAAAAAAAATAAAAAATTTCCAATAAAATAAAATGTAAGTCTAATCTGCAAAAAAAAAAATTTCCTGTATAACTAATATGAAAAACTAGCAAAATTAGGCTTAAAAATGAAGTGTTGAAACATTGCTTTGCAAACAAATACTTCTACTTAGAATGGAAAAATTACCAATGTTAAAAATGCACTCACCAGAAAAGATGAGTTACACAATATTTAAGTGGAAAATAGTAACATTAAAACTTTGTTTAAGTAGTGCAACTTTATACTGAATGAATGAACTTTTCACATATATACAGATGAAACAGTAATTACACTTTACATTTAATAATATGAAAATTAAAATTAATTAGCTTAATATTTTTTAATTATATGTTACTGTTAACAACTATGAGTATGTTTTTATTTCTGTGTATCCTACAAATAAATAATTTATTACCAATTGCTTTCAGAACAAAAGTTGCTCCTTTAATAGAACAAGAATGAGTTTGGTAAGAACTAAAAAAACTGAAAATCAAAAATGTTATGTGCAAATCACATTTTAAATAATTAATAAGATTCCTGATATTTGAGGAAAATAAATGCGTAATTAGGAAACATATATCCATAGAATATTATCAAAATTTTAATGAAAAATTCAATGCATTTTTTTTAAAAATTGTGTTAATTTAATCTCAATGTATAATTTTTTTAAAATCGCATGAATGTGAATTCTGATGTGATATTTTAAAATCACATGAACATGAATCTCGATTTGTAATTTTATACAGCGTGAATACGAATCTCAAAGAGTGTTTTTTAAATTGTGTGAATATAAAAGCCTAAGTAAGAATTTTAAATTGCTCAGACATGAATTGCAGTATGATTTTAAAACTGTGTTACTTCAGATCACTATTTATAATTTTAAAATGCGTGAATACAAATCTTGATGCATAATTTTAAATGTTGTGAATATGGATTGCGAAGTACGATTTTAAATCTCGCTGAAAGTAATTATAAATTGCGTTTACATAAGTAGGGGATATTTAAGCATCATGATCATTGGCACCAACTACAATCGCAAAGGCGCCAAATGGATTTTAAACTAGAAAATTTAAAAGAAAAGAAAAAAAAACATAAATTTGCGTGGGGATGGGGAGGCTATGAGTCATACCCTTTGAGTTGATCTCCTTCTGTGATGTTTTTTTAGTTTCACGCAGGCAGCTGCACTTGCCCAGACTGCGCGATCATTCTGCCGTAGAGCACAATCTGGAAATCTTCTCTCGTGTATCACCAACTATAATTGCCAAGGCACCAAATGGGTTTTAACTTTGCAATTAAAAAAAAAAAAACTAGCAGAGGTTTGCCTAGGGTGAGGGGATTTAGGTATCGTGAACTGTGGCAGAATAATCACTAAAACTTGACAACTTCTGGCAGCAGCTGCAAGTTGACGCCATCCCTCTCTATCCATTTGATGCCTTGGCAATTGCAGTTAGCGAGACTCATCACGATACTGAAATATCCCCAAAAGGGCTGTGAGCTATACCCATCAAGTTTGTCCCCTTCCAGGATATCTTTTTTAGTTTCTTGCAGCATGCTACCCTGAAGTTGACAAAATTTGGCGTTTAACTCTTTTTTCCAAGAACTTAAGAAAGTGGATTTTTTTTAAAAAGGCTGGGAAGATTTCCGTATAGTGATCTGCAACAAAATAATTGCCAAGTCTTAGCAACTTCCAGGTAACGGCTTGGGAGAAATAAAAAAAAACCATCACAGCAGTAGACTAACTCAATGAGCATATCTCTTAGTCATCCCTGGAGAAACACATTCACAGGTTTTTATTTAAAAAAAATTTGCAAGTTTAAAATTCATTTGGCACCTTGGCGATTACATTAGGTGCAGCAGATCATGATACGAGACATGTGATTGGTGGAAGAAATTATCTCAATTACTTTTATTCATGTAGTTTTTTTGTGTTTTTTAGTACTAATTTTTTTTCTTTTGGTACAAAGAAGATAAATAGTGACTCATTTTTTTAACATACATAAAAGAATATACAGTACTGAAAAAAATTACATATTACTCCACTTTGCAAGTTATTGCCAAAAAATTAAGAACTGTGAAATCTACAGCAATAACTGAAAAAAAGATTAATAATAAAACCAGTCATATTTACAACAAAATCACACGTGTCAAAACTTAGTTAATTAAATAAACGTTTTGAGACTCACAAGTTATAATAAATAAAAGTGTACTAAAAATAACGAGAATTTAATAAAGATGTGAAAATCAGCAGCTGTAACTGCCAAAAATTTGATTACAGATTTTTTTCTTCACTCTCATGTTTTCGAAGCTTAAGCGAAGTTGCATTTATTCTCTTATTTACAAATATGAGTAAAAAAAGTAGTTATAGTGCATGAATGAGAAAGGAGAGACTTCCATATCTTGATCTGTGGCAGAATAATCTCTCAAGTCTTGGTAACTACCGGGCAGCGGCCCCCGAGAGAAACTTAAAAAAAACATCACAGAACTCAATTAACTCGAATGGAATAACTCGTATCCAACCCAGGGTAAAAATCTAAAAATTTTTTTAAAAAAAAAATTTTAAAGTTTAAAATCTTGGCGATTGTAGTTGCGTGACAGATCCAGAATATATCCCCTTCATGAGAACTTAGGACAGTGCTGGTAAGACGGAATAAATGTCTCACTGACAAGATTTTACACAAGTAGAGAAATTTAAGTTTTTTATATAAGCGGAACTCCGAGGAAATTTTGTCTGAATTATAAATTACTGATTCGCAGAAGTCAGGGATATTTCCGTATCGTGATTTGTCAGGTCAACTACAATCGCCAAGTTGACAAATAGATTTTAAACATGCAAATTTTTAAAAAATAAATAAATAAATGATACATGTAGATATTTGCCCGGGGTGGCTACGAGTTGAACCTTTCGAGTTGGTCCCTTTCTGTGATGTTTTTTTAAGTGTCTAGCACACTAAATTAATTAAAAAATAATTAGGGAAACATTCCGAAAAAAGCAAAAATTTTCCTCGTATTAAATTGAAAAAAAAGCATAAAAAACTACTCTCTGATTTAACAGATAAAGATTTATTAAAATATTTAGTAATAGCAAGGCAGAAAAATGTTAAACTGACATTTGAGCTTCTGCTACCTACAACAAACCAGTTTTAATAAGTAATAAATCTTCAAAAGATTATTTAAGTTTTAAAACGTTTTAAATTAAAAATTGAATCCAGGATATTTAGTAAAACAAAACTCACCATTTTACGGGTTACTTTTTGATTTGTCCTTAAACTTAAAATACAGTTTAAGTAGCATTTTAATATTCCACGCAAACGAAAATATTACCCAAGATAATATATAGATAAAATCCGAACGCACCAAAAATGCATGACAAAAGGAAATTACTCAAAATAAAGCCTAAACTAAAAAGAAAAGTAATGAATGAGAAACCAACAGAGCCCACTAAAATTTTAACAGAATAATTTATTTTTGTTTTGAGTACGTTCCTAAAACTTGCCCAAATCCCTACTCTGATTGGTCAGAGCTAAACTAGATGAGTACGGTTAAGAGTCTCTTTCCGTTAGTTTCGGTTTCTTTCGAAGTGCCATGCACCTGTTTGTCTGAACGCACTGTCTTGAATGCCAGCCGCCTTATAACCCTAAACTTTGGCGATCAGCTGAAATGGGTGATTGCCAAACGAATTCTATCGCCAAGAGCTTGGATGCCCGATTTTTTGAGTGTGAAAATGGTGAATACGATTTATTGCTGGTATAATGATAAGCAATTGTTGCCCGAATTGTGATTTGTCCGTCTTTATGTTTTGTATTTCTAGATGTGTTGCAGGTTAAGAGTATCTTTTCATGAACTGGGGATATTATCATAACTACGACAAGTTGGCGAAGAGTCGCCGAGGAAGGAAGATAACGTTTCTGGCGGAGGGAACCAGTTTTTCTCGAATCATGACGTTTACGTCTCTTCCTCCTCATTGGCTCAAATTTGCTCATTGGCTTAAATAACGTGTACAAAATATTAGTTCTTGAATAACGTACTCACGGTGTCAGTTCCTAAAGATAAAACACACGTTTTGCAAACGTCTAATCTAAAGTTATTAATCCTTTTATTCTTTTTTTTTTAAAAAAATCTGTTTGACTCAAAATTAATGAGATTACATTGAATAATAATTTTAAAAAGTCTTATAATGCACCGCAGTTTCTTTTCTTTGTTTCTGAAATATAATTCATATTTGATTTAAACATTTTATTCATTTTTCAATAGGATGAAGATTTAAATGAACTATGCATTTTTCAATACAGAATGCATTTAAGATGGATCTGAGGAAAACGTTTCTCAGAAAGCTTAGGCATTTAAATGTTTTACTTTAACCTTATTTTTATTATTTTTTAATTAGGATGAAGATCTTATGGCAATTACCTAAAAAGTTTGCAATCTCAAATGTAACGAAATTTTATAATGTATTTTTATTGCAATACATTACTTACTGCTTTTATCGCTAAATTCAGCATTTCAGATGCGTAATTAGGACGAAAAGAATAGATTAAATTTTCTCATTCCAAATGCATAATAAAAATTCTTCACAATGAAATACATATAATTACGCCAATAATGAACTATGATAGATTTGAGAAATGAGTTAAGGAAGCACTTTATACATTCAAAAAAAAATTTGCCTCACTTGTTTGCTTTTTCAGATGTATGATATTTTATTAAATCGTTTTTCGTCAAGTTAAACATTCAATCAGAAAAAGGTGATAATTTTCAATTGGAAATATGTATAAGAAATTATTCACAAACGAATCGATACTTTTACGCAAATAATAAATTAAAATAGATCTCAAGGAATAGACCTGAGAAAGCAATTAATACATTTAAAGTACTTTACTTTAACCTTATTATTTTATTCATTTGTTTGCAGTTTCAAAAGTTATAAAAGTTTTAAAAAAATATTTATATGTATTTCATTATCATACGCAGTACTTTACTTTAACATTGTTTTATCAAATGCAATTTCAAAAGTGATAAAGTACAAGAACCAAGTCTTATTTCATAATTATACGACTAAAAAAAGATAGCAATTTCTTATAACATTGCTAAATAAGATATTATATAATAGTATAAGAAAAAAAAAGGAATGGTAGATTCAAAATAAATAATAAGAAAATCTTCACAGAAAAATCAATATTTTTACATAAAAAATATATCTTAGTAAATGGATCTACAAAAGCAAATTATACATTTAAAATAATTTATCCTTAGAAGGCAACAGTGAACTATTTTGTTAATAAGAAATATATTTCAGATATTTTTGTATTTAGTTTTAAAAACTTAAATAAACATGTCCCAAGTAGCACATAATATTATATAACATCAGAAAATCGGTAAAATCTAACGTTATCTTGCACAACTTCTAATATTAGAAAGATACAAAAGATCGCTGTTTGTTCAGCCTTATATAATATTAGATTCTATACAAACTAATATTATCTAGCGTTCGCCATAATATTATTTTGCATTCGTTTTGATGCTATATAATATTAGATTTTGAATTTTCTGATATTATTTTGCTTCGCTTTTTATTTTTTTGGAGTAAGCAAGAGGAAGATATGGATAGTAGTAGAATAATTCGGCGATATAATTTTACTTAATTTTCTATATTGTTGTGAAGCAATAAAACATAGAACATAGTTTTATGTCATTCCATGCATTATTTACTTAGCAATACAGAAATACTAAATAAAATTATATCAGTGAATTGTGCTACCTTCCATTTTTCTCCTCTTACTCCAAAGTATATCTTATGTTCAGCTGATTTTTTTGAATATTTCAAACTTAATTAGGAAATAATATTTTATTGCAACTTTTATTGATATTTTTTTCTTTTATTCATACAATGGGTATTCTGACAAATTTTATATCATTAATAATTTTCAAGTCTTTAATTTTAAAATGTACTCATTTTTTTAAAAAAAACTGGGCTTATTTTATCAAAATCTCAATTTAATTTGTTAGTTCGTAATAAATATATATATTTTAAATGTGTAACTTAAGCCATTTGTAATTTCACAATTATCATTCATTATTTATATTCTGAAATTATATAATAGAAATCACACTATATAAATATATAGTTATGTATTTACATTTGAACTAAGCGGAAATTTTAACTTAACATCCCCCCTTATAATTCTAAAATAAAATTGTTCAATTTTTAAGTTGTAATTTTTTTCAATAAATGACACAATAAAGAATTATCATTCATTATTTATATTCTGAAATTATATAATAAAAACCACACTACATAATTATAAAGTTATATATTTACATTTGAACTGAGTGGAAATTTAAACTTAATTTTTTCCCTTTATAATATTAAAATTTTTTGATTTTTAAGTGGACATTTCTTGTAATAATTGGCCCAAATAAAGAACAAAATTTAAAAATATTCAAATTACTTACTTCAACAAATTTACACATATTTTTTCCCCTTCTCTTTTCACTGGAATTGCTAAATGGAGAAATACTTACATAACTTTATTCTTTTAGTATTTGAAATTTCATTTAGCAAAACACCTGAAAACAAAACTTCAACGCAAGGTAGAAATTTTTCCAGGGAATGAAACCGGGAAAGCAACTAATACCATGAAAATTGCTAATATTTTTTCATAATGTTAAAATAACTTTTATGGGCACATCAGAAATTTTCATCAATTCGATAATTGTTTAAAGGTGTTATGCTCGATTAAACTAACAATTTTTGCAAAAAATTTACATAACATTTTAAT